TAGCATTCCGGACACTTTCGAAGAACTGTGCAACCAATAAATGTACCTGGGAGTCCTTATCCAAAGTAGGAAGTGCTCGTCGAAGTAATTTTGGCAACTTCACGGCCATTATCAGCGGATCTTCGTCTGTTCCAAGTTTCGTGCTCCGGGACTGCTGTATCGCCAGCTCCCTGTCCACTGGGCTGTCAAACTCAGGCTCCAGTCGTCCAACCATTCTCTGCCAAGTCTCCTTCCCATACACACGTTCCACGCTATCATGTGCTGCTTTCGCTGTACACCTCAACAACGTGCCAAGCACTACGACATTCGCTTCTGGATCACAGACACCCACCAGGTCTGCGACCGACTCGAAGTCCCTGACAAAGACCTCGGTGTCTCCGTTCTCGAACACTACAGGACAGAGAATCCTCATCACGACCAGAAGCAGTGACATCAATTGAAGGAAATGAGAAGACAAAGACGAAAGAAGGAATATTTATTATTAACATCGGGTACAGTAGTCATCGGATATGGTACACCTTCCACTAGGACAGTCATTTGCATAATGTACTTCATTTCATCTTCTGCTTCTATCTTGATTTGCTCTTCATACGCCCACGTTGTCTCTTGCGTTTTTCTGGGCAGGATCTTTACCCATTGCTGGTCTTTCTTAATGACTACAACCGCTCTCTCAACACATACTACTTATATCCATTCTGATTAGCGACGCCCACTGTAACTGTGTTGTCCTATTTTTAGACTCTGGGGATAGGGAGGATACCTGACACGCATTAAATGGTGGCTTTTTCTTTGCATTTAAAAGTGTCTTTCAATGGAGAAAATAGTTAACCAGTGCTTTTAGGTTCGGGTCATCATCATTAAGATCAACATAGGACAAGGCATTATCGTGTAACGCTCCAAGTTGCCACACCTCACGTCAGTATGTCAAGTAACAAGGAAATTAAGCTGAAGATGAGAAAGAAAAGAAGAGTAGAAAGTAGTAGAAGCGAAGAAGTAGGAATGAGAAAACGATGAGCTTAAGTATAGTGGTTAAGATGAGGATAATGTGTGCATACATCTGGGCCACTGACATCAATCTCCAACCACTGGTGCCTTGCATCCAGTGGATAGCAACCCGGTAGTCTGCATTGACCTACATGGTTCAAACCAATAATCAATGACTTCGTGGATTGATGCTGCGTTTTTCAACCTGAACCTACTTTGGCCAACATTGTGCGATTAGGTAGACAGTGACTAGGCGTACTAACACAAGTCCCAACCGGAGAACTGAGTCAATGAAGGTTCAGAACGGCATCAACTGACTTATTTCTCTTCGCTAAAACTCTATCCCTGACTTCTGTGTTACCTACATGGTAACACCATAGAACACGGCGTGTGCTACGAAGGTAATGGTAGTAAACACATGAAGCCTTGTATTGATTGGTCACGGAAGCGCAACCAATTTCATGTTATCTAGTTCTGAGTGCAGATCGAATTCTATCGATCATATTTGTAATGTGGCAACCAAGCTAGGAAGCTCAGCATCGCGGTGCACATTAGTGGATGCATTCCTATGCCTTCTACCTTTCATGGCCATGTTTCATAGCCATGTAGTAGAACAGAGCGAACTACAAGTTCCCAGTGTTTGGTTATCGAGTTCATATCAAACAGTGATGAAGACTTTTTTAAACTAGACAAATCTCTACAAACTAACAACTAACATGAACACTTGCCCAATATCTTACAGATTCCGGTTACATTTCAGTTGATTAGGGTTTTTTTCCGTTAAGCCAACAACTGAATGATTATTAAAACATTTTAGCCAATTTTACACTACTAACCAACTAGTACTTATTTATTAGCTTTCTTTTTTATAGGAAAAGACAAGATGTGGTTTCAACGAAGAAGCATTTTTCTTTTCGACAAAGTCATTTACTAAGCTGTACATTCGTGAATATATGTTACAGAAGGTAGAATGGTCCAGAATTGTTTCCGGTCAGGGAGCAGAATATATTAAATGACGAGAGGAAGTTAATTAAAACACATTTGTGTTTAAAGTGGGAAAATAGGCGGGAGATTATGCAATTAAATGTTACTACGTAATACAGGATGAATGTACGGCAAAGTAGGAAACTGAATGAAGGGTTGTGAAGATAAGATTGCGACTATGTAATACCGGATAAACCTATGACAGAGCATGAGAATAAACAGGGTATTATGAAAAATAAGATTGTGATTATTTAATGCAGGTTCAGTTTGATACAAAATGAATCTGTGGTTGACAGGGCTTTATGATGGCCATGGCAAAGATAAAGGTTGGACGTACCTTTTTTGCACGCATAACGCTGGTTTGAACTTCTGGTTGGCTAATGCTTCAGCTATAGACAGATGCTTTGATTTTACTCCCTTCAAGTGGTTTGATTGAACCCTGTAGAAAATTTTGAATGTGTTCTCGAAAGGAGCTAAGTGACCTGAGTTCACAAGGTGTTCTGTTATCGAATTGAAGGTGTATTTCCGTTCCCCCTTTGCAAGCCAGGCTGGGTAGTGTTCGCAAACACGTTTTACAAGCGGATGCATGGTACAGCCGATGTACTCAGCTCCACAAGAGCAAGTAGGAGGATAGAAGATAAGAGAGTGGTATAGTTTGTCTTCATATCTTCCTATACACCGAAATCTCATTTAAGCCTAGTAAACATCAAAAATCTACAAATAATTTTTAATTCTTAGTTGGAAATTGTCTGCCTCATCCAACTGTCTTTCTTCTATTTGAAATCATGTTCATCTTTTATTCAGTATCAGCTCATTCTTCTTACTTTCAGTTCAGATTCATCTTAAAGTTGATCTAAGTGGAAGTGTGAGGAGTGATTTTAAACCTTGTTATCAGAATGTCTTTCTTACAATATCGAAGAAGTTGAGGTTACTGTCAGCCACACTGTCTTCAACTAGAACGTACCATTCTCCAGTTATCCTTATAAATTTCACACTTGTTCTCAAAACATTCTCAAGCAAACAAAATGTTTCTGCAGAATTTCAAACAAATACAAATACAGTAATGTATATTTGAGATGAATGGGGATTGATATCAATTGGGGAATCATTGAAAACCTGGGGGCATTAAACAGCTGTTTCACCGTGATAAGCGACATCTCAACAATACTCACCAACGACCCCACCCGACAGGAAGTCGAACTCAAGACTTTCAGGTTTCATAGCGGACGCCTTAATCATTCAGTTACTGACTCAGAGTTCAGTGGTTCACAGTTTACAACTTCTGTCAGTTCACGATATGTTGCGACTATCACCGAAGGTCTTCAGTTGGCATCCGCTCCCCTTCCGACTGGTTAACCCTCCGGTACTGCTGAAGAGTTCGATACTGGGAAGAAACACCTGTTCAGGCCTCCGAGGTTTTCAATGGTTCCCTAACAGATGTCAGTCCGTGATGAATACTACCTGTAAATACAATACAACAAATTTCTGCCCATAAATAGAATTGACAATTGAACACAACCAGAGAGCGGAACATACAATTTGAAATATCTTTGAGATAAAAAAAGTGTAGGCGGGAGTTAAGTGAAGATAAATTATTATTATTATTATTAGGAGAAGAAGGAATAGTTTAACCTAGAAGGAAATTGGTAAATTTAGAAACTTGGGTAACACTAAATTTTCTTCCCTATAGCAAACCATAAAGCGAAAATCATTGATGATAACATTTCCTAAGAATAAGCTTCGTTTTTCTTATCCTGCCTACTAAAGGCGAACACGGTATGAAATGAGTATTTGTGTATTGATAACATTTTCATATTTTCCTTTTCAAAAAAAACACTATGCCGACTGTCATAATGCAAATTTAGTTGGAATAATATTCAGCATTGAAAAGAAAGATTAATTGAAAAGGTTCTTTAAGTGATTTATTACAAAATTTTTGTGTGGTTGACTGTTACTTCTTTCTTGTTGAAGAATAAAATATAATCTTTCCCATTGTACTTCAACTCATTCATAAGACTTTATCAGATGCTTATTGAGCCATGTGGGGCGATGCAGACTAGCCGGTTGGGGGCCGCGGGACAGAGGAACCAGTGGCGCAGATGTATACACACATAATCCTCATCTTAACGAGGCAATACCGAATCTCACCATTTTCTCATTCTTCATTTCACTCTTTTCGTACTTTATATTTCTTCTGACTGAATTCTCTTATCTTCATCTTGGACTTCACTGCCTTTCTACTTGATGTAGTGATATGAGGTGTGGCAACTCGGACCATTACGCAGTAATGCTTGTTCCTATGTTGATATTGATGATGATGATACAATGGTTCAGTTCCAGGGTGTCATTATTCTGCCATAAGAAATAAGTATGTAACATACAAAGTATGGGCAGTTTTCAAATTGTGCAACATATTCTTGCCATAGGATTAAAACAATGATACATGAAATAAATTGCTTCCATTTTGAACCACTATTACTACGAATTTATTATACTATTTAAACAATATTAGTAGTGGTGTTAAATGACTGTTTAAAGTATTCAGATTGGTTGGAAGTTGGTTTTTGTGATACATTCAACCCTAATTTTTGTTTTAACAGATTAGTTTCACTACGGTACTAAACGACATTGTCAGCGTTGTTTGACATAGGAATCATTTTAAGATATTATGGGCAGCTTATTCACTGAAGGTCAGTCTAGTGATTGTAATCACTGTATTCTCTTAATATGAAAATTTAACACTCAACTGGTAATTGTATTGGTTGACCAATCACGTAAAAGGTATAGAAACAACCACCTCCGCATTTCTTTTGTGACTAAATACGATTCAAGGACACTTGGTTAAATGTGACAATTATGCTTTGCCGGATGATGACTATCAGACTGACCACGACAGTCAAGGTCACTCATTATTTGAACATGTAGAGTGTACAAAAGCACACTTGTAAATATTTATCTGTCTCGTTTTTTAAAATGATTACTGAAAAGATTTTTATCATTTTCACTCTTAATTTTTTTGGTTTCGAATTAAGATCCAGACATTTGATGAAGATAGTGATTTGGAAGCAGATGAGGATGACGATGAAATAATTGATGGTTCAAAATTACATGTTCCATTAACGATCAGTGTTATTGTACTCTCAATGTATACATTAATCGGTGCAGTAATATTTCCTACTTGGGAAGACTGGAGTACAGCAAGTGCGGCTTACTTCTCATTTATAACAATATCAACAATTGGATTTGGTGATTTAGTCCCAGGAAATGGAAGACTAACCGAGGTAACAGTGTTAATTAACTTTCAAAGATTATTAAGTTGAAAAAAATGAAACTCTAGGTAAGATTAGGACTTGAACTAACAAACTCTTAGTTACCAGTGTCCAACTCCATACTGAGTGTCAGTTTCACTAACTGCTCAACCCACATCTTATAAACTCTTTCCAAATCATATTGAACTAAAATGAACAATAACTAACTGAATACTGGTTGCACTATCTGCAGTTATCTTTGCTGAGAAATTTCTCTAGATGAATCCGTAGGTTAAACGAATTGGAAACAGAAACTGGAGTCAATGCTACTAGTGATTTATAATCTGGCATTCTATACAGTAAGCTATGAATAACAATTATTGATTCAAATCATTCCCTTGTTGTTTTTCACAAATATGATGTAAATTAATGTGACATAACTGTTTATTCATCATCATACTACTATTACGTTGTCTATTAGGTATCCTAATCAGTAAGCAGAGCTGATTAGATGTACTTTGTATACTTACCTTGATATATTGGACAACATGGCGAGGAAAATTGAAGGGAATTGTATCACCTGACATTATTCACGTGAACCGGTACTTTTTTAATCGGGCGAAGTCACTTACATTGGCTTTTGTTTTACCAATGGGTTTCACGGTCTGACAACTAGTCACGGGAGTTTAATTGTAACTTCTTGAATCCTACCAGTTAATGTCATGTAGTTTAACGGTACCCACTGTCTGCTTTACTGTTCTGTAACTCATCTTCTTCAAGTCCTATACACTAAAAGCTGTGTGTTTTCAATTAGTATACAAATTTATGACTGTGGGACTTAATCCCACTTCTCAAACTCTAAAGTGTAAGTCATAACGAAGATGTCTGTTGATAACTACTATACCATTAGAAAAATTCTATCACATTGTAACCTAAAAAGATCTCTGAATCTGAATGAATTTTGTATTGTTTTACTAATATTTAGTAAACAACAGTTTTTGCTACGTTTTTGCCCTCTGAAATTCAATAAGTAACTCTCTAGATTTTGACTGATCATTTCAAGAACTTCAAATTGAGAATTCTTTTAGAAGTGTAGTGAATTTACACTCGAACTGGGTGTAAACAGTTATTATATCATATATTAATGATGGATAGTGGCTGGTAGAGAAGTCTAGGGCTAGCGTTTCGTCCTATTTAGGACTCATCGGCTAGATTTATCTGCCTTCCAATGAGCGGTATTTTACCCACCGAGACTCGAACTCCGGACTGGTCACTTTAAATGCCAGAGCCTTACCCACTAGACTACTGATTCATGATAGTTACTTCGTATGCCTCGGGTATAGTTTGAATGTTGTTGCTTGTACTGTACTGGTCTTTGTACAGAGTTGAAATAGGGTGTACTGTTTATCTTCTTATTTATATCTCCCAATGAAAATTAAATGTTTATTTTAACTGACGTTTTGTTATACAATGTTGCTAATAGCTTTATCAAAGTTTATGCTAAACCGGAATCTAAAATATACCTCAAGCTTAAATGTGATAGCATGATGAGTGTTCTTCTGAATGAATGGTTCTGCATTGTCAGAATTGTAGAAGAAAGATGATATTCATATGTAGCGTGTGTGTGTGTGTGTGAAGAGAAGAGACAAGAGAAAAAAGCAGCTGAACACTAATTACTTTAACATTCCACTTGGCGGCTACCAATGGAATCCAAGAAGTGAGTTTCGACTTCTTCGAGATTCGTCAGCTGGATGTACCTGCACCACAGTGGGTGATGCTGTTCCCAGTGAGATTCAAGCCCAGTGTTCATCGTTTTAAGTACCGAAGTGTTATCCACTAGGACATGAGGGCCACCTCTTGTGTAACGAGTATCAATTTTTGTTTATTGATACCTTTAATTTCCTTCTATATAAATACTTTAATATTATCCGAATATTTAGTATTTTGTAGTTTAGTTCATTAGTGAGACATAGAAGTTTTGGTATTACTCCATGCTTAATGATGGATAGTCGCTATCAGTGAAGTTAAGGATATGCGTTTTGTCCTATTTAGGATTCCTCAGAGGGATGTACTTGCCTCCAAGTTGGTGATGCTGTCCCCACCAGGACTCGAACTCGGGGCACAAGCCACAATATTCCTCTCTCCTACCAAAAATCAATTTTTTAAGTGAACTAAGAACTACAGTGACGAGAAATTCATCTGCTGCCAGAATACAAGACGGAGAAATAAGTAGGAAATATGAAACAAGAACAGATTGATTAGTTACTGGAAAGCAACTAATTTCATGTTGTCTAGTCTTGAGTGGTAACTGAATCTTATCGATTATTTTACAGTGTAGCCACCAAGGCAGAATACTCACCATCGTGATAACCTTTGATAAATGTTAGTTGATTGAAGACAATTAGCGGGAAGCCCTGGGCTTAGTTTTGTGCATAGGTCTAAGGCTTACCTCGTTTGTATCCAACCAAAAAAACACGTAAAAGCATGTTGTGCGTTCAGTGTATCCCGTCTCGTTAGCTGAACTTATCTGAACCAAAGCACATGATATTATTGTCACTTATACGAGAAACCACCACTCATGGCTTTAAATACCAGGGCATTAATCATGACAGTCACCGTTTGTGCATCGATTTTCAGCTATCATCTATTGATACTTGCGCATGTTGACGAATTTTTAAGCATCAATGGGGCTTCGGTTAAAGCAGGTTATGTAACAATAGACATCCACTGATTCTATCCACTGTAACACTCAACAAGATTGTATAGCTGTTCATAAATATGGCAATTCAATAAGTGTATTAGCAACGCGATTAATAAACTTTAATCAATCCTAAACACTAGGCATCAACTAAATAGACTACCTGCTGGTGATGAACTCCTGCACAGAATCCAGTCCTACAAGGGATAAGTCATGGTCCACCAAACTCAGTGGTTAAATTTACCACTGAATTACACAGGTTCGATTTTCCAAGGGAATACCAGATATACCTTGCTGTTGAGTGCCAATAAGTACGAAACCTATGTCAAGTAAAGCTTTCTGGTGACTAACTACCCTATAACATCGAAATATGGTGCATCACAGTGTCACGTCACTTCGCTTAGTGGCCACACAACACAACGTGGTCGGTAGACTTCAATTGCTGCTAAGTAGTAGAGAGTTATATGGTTAACCACTAGTGACCAACTGATGTATACTAATAATCATTCAAATATATTTTGAGTTTTACTGTCTTCTGTGGGGAATGGTTTTCCCTTATAGAAGACAGTTGTTAACGTGATCATCACATCACAGATTTTGTTCATTCTGATTATCAACTGAAGTGATAACTGACAAATAAAATTTCTTACCAGTCTACATGACTCAAAATGGTTCTATGTGTTTGTTATTTGTACTCCCCATTGCATGCTTAAATGAGACTCAAATCACTAGCTATATGTATCTTCTGGACTATATATATATATATATATATATATATATATATATATATATATATATATATATATATATATATATATATATATATGCTTAAACTGTAAGTATTCAACGACTGACTGATAAACAAAATAAACCCTATAGCCTGTGATTTCTTAAATACAGTCACGATTAGGGTTAGGATCATGAATGTGATAAACAAGTCGTGTCAAACGACATTAGACACATGCACACATAGACACATACAGACCAATTCATAATCTTGCAAACTAATAAAACTACTAGGTCACTTTAATAGCGGGGTCCCTATGAGTCGTAAGTGAAACTTGGCTAAATCTCTTGCCATTCTCATTAGACGAATCAACAGTCCCCAAGTGTTAGAAACGGAAATTTCTAATCTGAAGAACATACTGATTGAAAACAGATTCCCACCACGCTTCAAAGACAATCATACCAAACCTAAACCTCGCAAAGAGAACCTTATCACCGTGCCAAAAAATACACTCTGTATGAATTTTAACTTCAAAGGTGATTCTGCCGCTGACATTCTAAGAGGAGGATATCAAACACTCTAAGGAGAACATTCTTTGAATCGACACTGAGACTAGTATTTTCCTGTCACTCAGCGATTTCTAACAACTGTTAGTTGGTTGGAAGCAATCGGCAGGAAGCCCTGCTTGACCTAGGTTTCGTGCTTTTTGGCACTCGTCAGCAAGGCGTATCTGCAACCTTAACGGAACTGATGTCCCGCCTGAGATTCGAACCGTCGTCACCCAGTATTCTAGTCAGCGACTTTACCACTGAGCTATTCGGGCCGCGACTGACCTCCTATAGGACTGGCTTACATGCATTGATTGGTCATAGGAGTGCAACCAATTTCATGTTGTCTAGTCCTGGGTGCAGACCGAATTCTAACAACTCAATTAAGAACTTTCGCATCTGACCACTTCTGTGTGCACATGTCAATTCAACGGCTTTCGTGGCGCCAGGTATATAGGTCGTTCGATGCTACTGTTATCCAAAAGGGTTCAAGAGCACTATCCCACGTGATTACAAAGAGGTAACAAGTGAATGATAAAGAGTGCTATAACTGACCACATCGTGAACACGAATGACCCCATCTCAAGAACATTTTCCTTCAAAGCCATCTATAAAGTGAAAAGAAACCTTCCAATAGCTGTATGTCTTGGTATTCTCTACATCTTCGAAGCTCTTACCATCCATATAGAGAAAGCTGAACTGTATACGCAAAAGAAGATTGTTTAACTCTTTCTGCTTTCATGGCCTTAGTTTTTCGTTTTCTCTACTCCCCGTTTTCTTCTTCTCATCTTTCTGTTTTGACACTATTCATTTCTCGAGTAATTTCCCACTCATTCTTGTTGCTATGCTTTGATCACAGCATTGAAAATGAAATCATCGAAAAGAGACTCTTCGCTGAAATACTAGTTTGTTCTTCCTTCAAATTATTTTGATTAGTCAATTGAGGAGTAATTTGTCCAATAGTTTTTCTTGACCACATACAAAAAATAAAATCTATAACTTCTACGTTAGCGGTTGGTGATTTTCATTTAGGCCGCTTCCTATCAGTACTCTAGACTTATAATTAAAACTGTTTAGTACATATAAGAAAAACTCTAAAGGTATCTGTGATTGAAAACTTTCAACTTCATTTAAGCTTTTCTCTGTGAAAAACTATATCATAAACCTGCAGTATAACACAGTCAAGTGTTCTACAATATATTTCTCATCTAACAGACCATGTAGTTAGGCAAATATACAACAAGTCATCTATACCCTTGCTGAGGATTTTTTTTCCTACTCACCTCATCAATGTTGATAGAATTTCTTGATTCAGTATCATAATCTAATGATTCATTATCAAAGGTAAAACTAATAGTTTCAACCGGAAAAAAGTGTATTTATATTCTTGGCTTTTTATGCGTCCATCAGTATGTTAAATTATCAACCCATCCGTCCATCCCTAAGTCTCTCTAGTTATCATACTAACTGCTTCATAATGTTTTGAGTATTTGTAAACTATTATTATTTTTCCCTTGGGTTCTTAGTGGAACATAGGGATTCAGTAGCACGACTCCATTCCACTCTCTTCTCTGCAGTCTTTTCAACCTTGCTTCACAACTGTCCATAACCTTTCATTTCTTTCTCACATCATCTCCTCCATGTCACCCTCACCTGGGATGACGCCCTACTCGTCGTTTCCCCTTTCGATTCCACTAGAGGGCCTGGCACCTGATGTCCCTAAACCGTCTTCTCAGTGTATGCCCAATCCATCTTCACTTCTTTCTGCATACTTGTTGGGTGATAGGTTCTTGGTTGGTTCATTTGCAGAGTTCCTTGTTGCTTATTCTTATTCTTCTGGTCATCTGAGCTTCAGTATCGAGCCAGCGTAGGCAGTTGTTGATAAATATCTGTAGTTTGTTGGAAATGCTTTTCGTGACGCATCAAGTTTCTCAACCATCACATAGAAGCACTGACTTGACTGACATTAGCGTTGAAAATCCAGATCTTTTTCTCTGTGCTGAGTGCAGTAGATCTCCACAGTGATTTCAGATTAATGAAAGCCTGTCTTGCTTTTCCGATCCTGGTCTTGACATCCCCGTCTGTGCCGCCTGTAGTTGAAACGATGCTGCCTAGATAGGTGAAAGAGGTTACTTCCTTTACGTTTCTCCCACTGATGGTGAATGGAGCTTGTTGGTGGTGGTGGTTGTGTTGGTTGGGTATCTTCATCACCTCTGTCTTCTCTATATTCACTTGAAGTTCCGTCTTCCTTCGCTGCCCTGCCTCTTCTAGTAACTTGTTAGTTTTCGCCTGTAGATCATCAAGTTTGTGCGACATCAGACACAAGTCATCGTTGGCGAAATCCAAGACTTCTAGGTTCTTTTCCGCAGTCCAGCCAGTGTATCCCCCTCTTCTCGCTCCTCACAGTTGTTTACTGCATGATCCAGTCGACCACTATCACGAGGATCATATGTGATAGTAGACAGCCTTGTCTTACTCCTGTCTTCACTTCAAAGGCATCACTGAGCTTCCCATTGTGAATTACTTGGCTGGCATGTGGCGTCTTCATATAGTTGTTGAATGAGGTTGATAAAGGTTTGTGTTATTCCGTAGTGTTGAAGCAGTTGCCAAATTACTTCTCAGTCAACGCTGTCGAGTATCTGTATATAATATAACATAAATGTCTTGAATATTGTTAATCTTTGACTTTTTTTTCTTTTTCCAAATTCTTATTAGCCTCATACAGCAACTGAACTTCTCATCGGTGGTATATACCTACTATTCGGATTAGCATTATTGTCTATGTGTTTAAATCTAATGAAAGATGAAATTATAGCTAAAGTTGATTACATCTGTTCATGTATTGGTGTAAGAGTCAAAGGGAAGTTATCAAAAGATGAGAAAGATAAACAAAATAATGAAAATATTGATAAAATTAAAATGGATACTGTTAATTCACAGACAAATGAATTTGTTTCAACCATGGAAACATCAAAATTAATGATGAAAAATAAAACAAAAATCAATTCTGAAAATTTTCAAAATGAATACGATAATGAAGGTTATCAAAAAGATAGATAATTTAAACAAAAATTCAATTTACAATAAAATTACACAGAATAATTTCAAGTACTTTTATCACCTATTTGTTACACAAGATTGAAAATTATTTTTCTTTGAGTAAAAGCTGCTTCAACCCTTACATATCAATGAAATTATTCATTCTATGCATATCATAATATACAGATTGAAGGGAAGTTGGTAACCAAAAGTAACATGAATATTCTTAAATTTTTTTGTTGTTGTAACCATTACTGTTTTACTTTCATAGACATTTTCAGAAATTTTAACGTATTTTTGTTCAGCTCCTCCCATAATAAATCCACTTTATAAAGTTTGCTTTTATATTTGATACTACTGAAATAACTTTAAGTAGCTTAATGTGAATAATGAAATATTACAGCATCTATATGTTGATGAAATATCCACATAGACAGACGCAGTGCAATTTCATACTAAGGAGAGTGAAATAATGAATGGGTTTTCGCAGGTAAGTAAATAACCACTGGAGTGCAGACACAACTAACTGAGTGATCCTAGGAAAAGTAGATTTATCTCGTCTGATGATGCTGTTCTTCATCAACTGTTATGCAGACATTCTATTCACATTCGAAGTTGTATCATAGTTTTTGATGGTAAAGAAAATACGATGTTCAGAATCTTTTGAGTAAGACCTCAAATCACGTCAGATTAGAGTGGATCCAAGTGTCTACCTTAAGAGTAGTCGACGGTTACATAACAAGTCTTCAGTATGATTACATTTGATTTTTCAAAATGTCTCGTGAACCTCTCCTTTATTCCAGTCAAGTTTTAGTTTCGTATGGAGAAAAGGACCAGAATATCGAACCCCTTTTTAACCGGAGATTGAATAGGAAATGTTACTATTGAAAATCAACTCAGTATGTGCATCGGTAATAGACTATGTGCTACATTAATGCTGTGAAAGCTTGTGATATTACGCAGCTGCCCACACCGAATAATTTGGAGCGAAGTTTGAAAATTAAGTGTCCAAGTTAAACAACCATATCTTTATCTGATTAAAACTGAGCAGAGTGGGAAACGACAAAATTCGCAGTCAATATGGTGTTTTACGTTCCGTGCGAGACGACAGACCACATACAGGGAGACCATTTCAAAAGTAACAGTAATTATCCCTCAAAAAAAAAAGATTCCAGTGTTTTGATTAGTTTTCAAGATAACTTTCCTGTGAACTAAAGTCTGATGAGAATTTTGCATACTGTTGCAAGTGTGCCAATGATTGACAATTTCCAGCTATCCACCACGTGAAAAATCACCCAATTCTGGGGTATCCGTAAACGAAATTGTGCTAGAAATGTTGATGCATTATTACGCAGTCAAGAAGATTTCAGCTTTGGGCCAGTCACATATGACTTTCGGGATAGATTTAGGTTTCAAAAGTATTGTGCTACTTCCAGACTAAAACATACGCCAACAGCAAACAGATAAACAAAATAAACATAGAACCTCCACACAAGTGCATCGATTCCAGTTGTCATAGCAGTACACAGAGAACATGTGGACGGAAAAAAGAGGGATAGTAAAGTAGACCAAGTTGTGTGAGAGAATAAACAGTGCAAATATCCAAGGTTTAGAAGACGTCAACGAGTGAATATATGTGTGTTATTGTAACCGATCTTCAGCCATGTCACCAAGAGGCCCCAACCACTGATTCTTATCATATCATGGCTCCGCACACGCGTCAGACCAACAACAAGAGACTTCATCTACTGGTGCTACATCTTGGACTTGGTCACCATAAGCCCTCTTTCGACCTAATCCAACCTCTTCTAGCATGCCACGTCGAGGTAGGCATCCCAGTCAACTACGGTTCACCTTCTCAATCCATTTGCCTTCCTTGCTTAGAACCCTCTGTCTGACCTCAATATCATACGCAAGCAATGTTACGAAGACACCTGTGGTTAAGACTTGTAACCGCTTCATATCGCCTACTTTCAACCGCCACGTCTCACAGCCGACAACTGGACAGAACAGCCTAAAGCGTAGTATACTCGTTCTTTGATTGATAGTTGGACATCTCGCCAGTCGACGCCACAGGTGATGCAAGTTGGCAAGTGCTAAACAGGCCTTCTGATCGACACATTAGACCACTTCACTCCCCATCACTAAGCTAGTACTTGCAGCAAACCAGTCCTACAGCATTACCTTGGACTTGACAGGTGCCAGCGAAATACATGCCAAACATACTCAGATTTCTGCTTAAGGCATTCTTAGAAGACTCTGCACTTTGTCAGCGTCTTCACCTAACGGCACAATATATTCTGCATACTCCAAGTCAATCAGATTACCTCCAGGGAGTAGGTCAATCCATGTGAATCCAGACGTACCTAAGGTTATGACCATTAGTACGTCTATGATGAAGTTAAATAGGAACGGTGACAGTTAGCATCTCTGATGGACACCACCAATTTTGATAGCAACTTTCCATAAGCCCTTAAACGGCTGTGTGAGTTCGAGTAGGAAGCTTTCATTGGTGTTATTTATTTACTGGGTACTCCTTTCACAGTCAGATACTGCCACAACACCTTACAGTCGACAGTCAAATGCCGTCAGGTGAATATGGCAAATGTCGGAGGGTTGAAAATCGGATAGACGCACCATTGTTCCTTAGAACTCCAGTTAGGCATCGAATGATTATGAGTTCCAGGATATTTGACATGATGGTAGTCGGCCTGATCTCCTACGATTGTTACAAGGAAATTTGTCTCCCTTCTTATAGACTTAAGTGACAAGTGAAGTGGACCAGACTGATGTGACTGCCCCCAATTCCCACATACTATCCGCTACTCTAATCAGTAATTCCTTGCCTCTATTTTAAAAAAACTTCTGGTGGCGGACCGTCAGGTCCAGCTGCTTTACATCGTTTCAAGTTCGACAAAGCCTTCTCAACTTCAAGGAGAGTTGGTGAACAGGTGTATACGTCCCATTCAGGTTAAGGCTGCATGTGGGGCGACTGAAGCGTTGCTGGGGGCCAGTTGAATTGTGCTTCGAAGTGTTCTGCATGGCATTCTGGCCACCTATCCTGAGGGGTTATTATGATCTGGTATTTTTCGATGATGGTCTCAATAACCATCAGATCCTTTCTGCTGGCATATTTAATAAGTCTAAATAATTGTCGGGTACTAATTAATACCCATGCCCGCTCCATCTCTTTCGCCTTCACCACCGCTAGTGATTATGACCAAGACCTAATTTACGTTTAAGTTGCTTTCGCTCCTCATTGTGGTCAGGACCTCCTGGAATCGGTCATCTCGCATCAACCAGTTCGGCTGACGTTGTGAAAATCCAATAACATTCGCTAACCTTTGAATGTAGACATAGAGGACCAACTGTCTTTACCGCTGTTTCTACAGCAGATCGAATATTACGCCAGATTTCCTTAGCATGAGCATTGCTGTCACGTTCAGATAAATGCTTGACTATCTCTAGCGTAAATGCTTGATGTTCTCATCTGACCGAGCAGGCACAGTTTTCACTGATGTCTGTTTTCGGCAACCAGTGAGAGGCAGACATACATGAACCGGTACTAGCACGTGGTCGGTACTCCAGAAATAGCGACAATCTTACATCGATCCTCTCCAACGACGGCTGGCTTATCGCAATGTGATCTATGTGTCTATCGTTAGGTTTGGGGTCGGCAGACCCCACATGAGACAGTGTCTCTCCTTAAGGTTAGTGCTGGTCAGATATAAGTGGTAGTCGCAATAAAATTGCAACAAACGACCACTGTAGTTGGTTCCTTGGTATGTGATTTCGTAGATACCTCCGAGACATTTATCAGATTAGTTTAGCTTACCTACTTAAGCATTAGTCACCTGCTACTGTGGCTATTTCTGAACGTTTCGCTTTCTGTAGGAAATTTACAGGTTCTCATTGAATGCATTTTTTGCATCGTCTGAACTGCGGGCGGAAATTACGAATACGTAATAGCTAGTCTCCCCATTTTTCCTATTTTTCACAGGTCCATTCAGTCGAACAACACACAGGTGGATGTTTATTGTCATCCAGTTCAGCAGTGCACTTTCTGCTCTACAACTCAATTTTATGCCTACGTTGAGTTCATGAGTGTGAGCCATTGGGTCTCCGGACACCCGTATGGTGGATTTTGAAGATCCACTGTCATGGCCAGGTGAATAACCAAACTTGGGTCCCCTATAAGTGCGTCAGACACAGCATACATCTCATGACTCAAGATTTCAAACTTGTGATGCCTTCTGTCCGATTCAGAGTAGCGTTAGGACGTGGAAACATCCATTAGGAAATCGAAAGCGCGGTCTCCAGAGTTGGTTGTTCTAGTACCCGATAGAGGGAACCCGCACCCCCAGCACCGAAATACCGTAGGGTAGGGGGTGTGCGCTATTTTTGGGCCAACCTCTTCTAATCTCCCCCCCCCATCGCCCTTTTTCTATAGGTAAGGTAGCATCACCATGGTACTGCTAGTCATCAGCAGGAACTAGCTTACTGCTGTCGAACCTCGTCTAACCAGCAGTACCACTTCACCCTTAGACTACCATCATAGTGTAGGGACTTACACTATAAAGGTAATTGTTTTTCGTCTTACTACTATTCAATAGACGTTTCTGGTACGGTAGAACCTCGAAGAAACAAGCGTCCCAACCATTGGTAGCTCAATGTGTTATATAAACCCAGCAACCACGTCAAGACAGAAGCTGTCGGTTGGGAATAAAGACGATAAATATATTTGAAGTTACGATTTAAATAAAGATAAGGTATGAATGCAGCTGCCCAATTATGACCGACTCATAACCCTATCACTTGATCTCCAACCCCGCACTTCCTAACACGGTTTAGACTGACATTCCAGAATTCATGTATTAGTGACTCATTTTAGTCAGACCACCATTAAATTTCTTCTAAGCTTTACCTACTCCAGTAAACAGCACGTTCAGTTACGTGGTGGCTCAGTGTGCACAACACACTACTTAACTTAACCACTTCAGACGCTGAAGGCTTAAAACACCAACTAACTACCGCTTTCCTTTCTGCGTCTAACCTTCATATAACTCACACTGTTTTACCACTACAAATGCCCGATGCTCCAGAGGCGATCGTGATCGAATAGCAACAGGAAATTACAAGTGTTATCACAACAACTGATACTCGTTGCACAATAGGTGCCTATCGTGCCCCAGTAGATAACCCTCTGGTATTTGAAGTGAAAGGTACTGACTGGGTTCGAGCCTCAGTGGGGACAACATCCCTCAATGAGGTGCAGGTACATTCGGCTGACGAGTCCCAAATAGGACAAAAAGCACGTCCTACATTCCTCTGCTAATTACCAAGATCAATATAATACTTGAAATCCACTTATATCCTTCATGTTTACTGGTCATGTTTCATAACCACACAGAAGAATAGTTACACAGTACACTCTTGAAAATCTAGCCGGTATCATGAATGGTGTAAATTTAAACATCAGTTGAAGTCATACTGTTTTACCAATCAGACACATTCAACAACTGACGCCTAGAGCTACACTCTCTCAAATTTATTACAAAATCATAAGAAAATGGAGAAAAAAAGTAGAAGAACAATTTCACATATGAAATATTCTCAAAAATAAGCATAACTATAAAAACAATTTCTTGAGAATTTACATCATGAATACTGTACAGAATGCGTATGTAACGAATAACTTTAGACTGATTCTTTATTCAACATTTGTATAAACTTATCGAAACAATCTGCCGTCAAAGTCTTTTGAGCTCTCCAGTGTACAGCTGGTAATTGAGTAATATCTCCAATATCTTTTTCGAACTTTAAATATAACGACCAGAATTCTATAGTTTGAAAAGATTTTTTTGAAAAAAAACACAAGGTACTTACAACACACATCAATATATCTATTAAGTAAGGACTAATGATAATACTTGGTTGTCGTAAACATTGGTAAGTGGGGCGGGGTTCGAACCCATAACCCATCGGTTGAAAATTATCTCTCTAAAACAATGAACCACAGCTCCATATTATTCCATTAACAATGGTTCATTATCAAAAATTAGAATAGAATATTCTTTTCTCGAAAAAAATCATACTTTCAGTGCTCTTGAGGATGTGGTGGCTATCTTGTTGACTGATATTCAACAAGAAAGATACGGGTTCGACTCGTAGCTCTCCTCCACCTATCAAGGTTTCATTTGACTCACTGCCTGAAAAAATGTATCTTAAAATCAATTGAAATAACCAACTTGTGAAGCTACACTGAGTATCACGCCTAGATTGGTCCCATACTACGAGGAAACAGCTGTCCAGTAGCTCCCGAGTTTCTAATGTTCCATCAACTGATGAATGCCAACTAAATTCGCACAACCCCCTCCCCCCCAAATTCACATTACCTTTACCGAAACATTTAAAACTCAAAGTAAAAACATTCAACTTCATTCCTATAACTAACCAGTCACTGTAAACAACTTGAAATATATTACTGTTGCAAGAAAAACTTTGCAGAATCTATTCAGTAAACTCATTTCGAATCTTTACAAACCAATTGAAACCCAATTACTTAATTTATGCATAACCTGGTGCCCAAAAATTATTATTATTTGTCCTTTTGGTTCCTAGTGGAACATAGACCTTCAATAGCACATCGCCATTTCACTCCATTCTCTCCACTCTCTCCAACCTGGCTCCATCACTGCTCACAAGTTTCCATTTCTTCCTCACATCATCTCCTCCATGACACCCCACGTTAGAACGCTCAACTCGTCGTCTCCCAGTTCACTTCAACCCGAGTGCCTCGTCTCATGCATCATGTACCCAAACCGTCTTCTCAGTCTATGTCAAATCCAATCCAATCCATCTCCACTTCATTCTACTACATTCTTGTTGTACAACAGGTTCTTGGTTGGATCGTTGACAGCCAGCCAGCCACACTTCCTCCTTGATTATTCCTGCTTATTATTCTCCCCATCTCATCTCCATCTTCAGTGTCACTATACAGTCAGCGTAGCTGCCAGCTGTTCATGTCATGCATGTGTGCAGTTTTTTGAGAATTCTTTTCGTAACACGCCCTCTTGCAAGCATTCACTGACTTCACTGACATTAGTGTTCAAAATCCGGATCTTGTTCACCCTTAATGCTGAGTGCAGTAGATTTCCACGCTAATTTCAGATTAATGAAGGTTTGATTTGCTGTTTTTCCGGTCGTGGCTTTGACATCCTTATCTGTGTTGTCACCTGTAGTTGAAACGATGCTTCCTAGCTAGGTGTAGGTGAAAGAGATAACTTCCTTTCGATTTCTCCCGTTCATGATGATTAGTGCTTATTGTCGTTGTTGGTTGGGCACCATCATTACCTGTCTTCGCTGCCCCGCCTCGCCTCCTCTGCCAACTTGTTAGTTTTCGCCTGTAAATCGTTGAGATTGTGCAACATGAGTCGAACGCAAATCATCATTGGCGAAATCCAACTCTTCTAGGGTCTTTTCATCTGTTCTGATAGCATATGCCCATCTTCTTGCTTCTCACACTTTGTTGCATGATCCAGTCCACTACAACCAGGATAATCATTGGTGATAGTAGGCAAACTTGTCTTACTCATGTCTTCACTTCAAAGGCATCACTGAGCTTTCCATTGTGAATCACTTCGCATGTAGCATCATATAGCATATAGCTGCTGTTGAAAGAGGTTGATAAAGGTTTGTGGCACTCAAACCGTAGTGTTGAAGCAGCTGCCTGCCAAACTACTACTCCACCGACGCTGTCAAAGACTTTTTCAAAGTTGATGAAGTTGAGGTAAAGAGTTGACTGCTATTCATCCTATGTTCTGTTCTATGATGATACGTAGAGTAGCGTTGCAATTTGATCCGAACAGGATTTGTTTTTCCTGAAGCCGGCCAGCCTGTTTCGGTCGTATTTTTGAATGCAGAGTATTTTTTTAATCTCTCTATTAAGATGCGGCTTAGTATTCTTCTTGGGGTGGACAGGAGCATGATTCCTCACCAGTTCTTGCAAAGACTTAGTTCTCCCTTCTTTGGGAGTCTGACAAGGTAGCCCTTCTTCCAATCAAGTGGCAGGTACCTTTTCTTCCTTGCAAACCTTCAGCAAGCATGCTGCTGTTGTCTCTGCGTCTGTTTTCAGTACTTCTAATGGGACTTCATCTGGTCCTGCTGCTTTTCTGGGTTTCAGCAACTTTATGGGGTTCACGACTTCACTTCTGCTTTTGTCGGAGAGCCTGTGTTCACCTGAAATTCTGTGGCTGGGCTGCTGGCGGTATTTCTGGACAAGTTGCAAGTGGTGATGGTCGGTTGAAGAGTTTTTTGAAATGGTCAGCCCATTGTTTTCTTTGTTTCTTCTCTTTGACGGTAACTAGGTTTCCTTCACTATCTTTCATTGGTTCCATCTGCGTTGGTCTCTTTCCAGATAGTAACCTGGTTATTCGATATAACGTTGTCAGGTTTCTCCCACCAGTACCCTGTTCTGTTTCAGTTGCAAGTGTGTCATAGAAGTGTCTTTTATCTTTCCGCGCACTCTTCTTTACTTCTTTGTCTAGTGTTTTATATGTTGTATTCAGTTTCTCTTTTCGTTGTTCATCCCTGAACTGGTTCATCTTCTGCTTAACTATCCTCCTCTCCCTCCTCTATCAGCTTCCATGTGTCCATTGAGATCCACTCCTTGTCTTCTTTCTTCTTCCTTCCTAATACGGTTATGCAGGTTTCTTTCCACATAGCTTTCAAAAAGTTCCAATGCTTTTCCACGCAGGTTTCTTCAAGGATGCTGCTTAATGTCTCCCATTTTGTGCTGATGGCTGTCGGAAGATGTTGTTTGTAGTTTCATCCTTCACTTTCTGTTCTGGTTGTTGAACGTGAACTGTGGTCTATCACTAGATTCTTTGACGACTTTCAACTTAATTTCGAAGGTTCCTTGTACTAGATAGTGGTCTGAAGCTACATCTGCTCCTGTTCTTGATTTTGTGTTCGGTAGACTGCGCCTCCACTTTCTTGAGATTGAAATGAAGTCGATCTGATTTGTTGCTTAAAAATAGTTGCTTTAAATCGTCTCATGTGGAATAGTGGTTTACAGACTCCAGTGCTCAACTCTCAACCAATCTATTACAGGTTCCGACTTTATTTCCCAATTACTGACTGATATGACTAATAGTCTGGTGTACAAGTCTGTGAATGGTGGGAAATTCAGTCCGTTTGTTCATAGTTGTTAATATGTACGAGTACATTTACTGATGTCAGTCAGTACCTTAAATATTGGATGAACATTCTCATAAAAGTGAGTAATATGCGGATGATAAATCAGTCACAGGAACCAATCATACTCTTGAAGTATTTAACTATTTCCTTTTGTACTCTGTTATATTTCTTCGATACAGAAGCTGAAATCCTTAAATCCATGAGGCTGAAAACATAAAATTCAACGTCTCATCAGCTCTGCGTTATTTACTTCAATGGAGTCGATTTATGAGGTTGTGAACCTTCATTGGCTGATATGGCTTGGACATGTACTGTACATGCCTAACCATTGCCTACCTCGACATGCTATGCTAGGAGAAGTTGGATTAGGTTAAAACATGGTTCAAAATGACCAGATCAAGACGTGGCAACAGTTTAGAATATCTCTTACGGTTAACTTCATTCATTTGGGGAAATGTAGACTGCCTAGTTGGGGTCCCCTTTGTCTTCAGCTCTTTTTATTCTCTTACATAACTTCGTCTACTTTGATATCACTTTTCCTATCCACCTGTTCCTTGCGTACTTCTGTAAAGTGTGGTAACTGGAGCCGATGCAATTGTATGAAGGTTCTACATTGATTTTGTCAGTCAGTCAGTTTAATACAATGGTCATTTATTACCTAGTTCTGTATTACCCCAATCTTGAAACTGAGTTGTCAGACAATATGATATTCTTCGCCTTTACTTTGTGTTGTATATCTAACTAGTTTATATTGAAATGGAACAACAACAATCGGGTTAGCTCTTTTATGCAACAGAACATATGTGGATAATGACTGAGTCGCAACACGATCGGAAGTGGTGATCTCCAATTAGCAATTCAATATGCTCTAGGCATTCAGCTACTAGAACTAGTTGTTCACTGGATCCCAATTTCAATTAGAAGACTATTTTATCAGATGGCATATGGATGACCTTGACCGGTTGCCCTAAGTCATTCGTTTCTTATCCTAATATAACTGACTTCGAAAATAGGAAGGACTAATGACTCGTGTTTATCCAACTGATGTCAGTCCATGATAAATACCAGCCTGAAGTCAATCAATAAATCCCTATACATCACCAAACTGCATTAATTTAGTGCTCATTGGTGAGAGATGATTCCCGAAGTTCTATTGAGAAGTGATGACCGGTGGAGTCAACCGAGTCGAACATGAGGACAGTTACTCAACGACGGCATCGGATGAAGGTCACCCTATTTCATGAACTGAGAGAAGTAATAAAACTGTGGACTATTGGATTGTGACCCAATGGCTTAATGGTAAGCTGCTGGCCGTGAGATCTGGAGGTCATGGGGTCGATTCCAAACAGGATCATGGATGCGCACAGTTGAGGAGTCCCGTACAAGGAAGAAATAGCTGTTCAGTGCTCTCAGGACAGAAAATGTGTGCTGTGGTTGAACACCTTTCAGTTTTCTTCCATTCAGAATAAATAACTTGAAAAAAATGTCGAAAAATAAGTGAACTAGTTAAGCAGCACATTTAAGGGGAAGATGGAATTATGAAATATTATTTTACCTGGACAATGACTACCCCATTGTGAAGTGGCTAGTAAATCGAATAATGATCGAGTTTTATTGATTTCAGAACACAAATATTGTCGTCTCTTGTAATAAATATCCTGAGAATTAATCTTATCTTCACTAGTATCCATTGAATTTGTTGTCATCAACAACTGATCATCCAATTTATACACTGAATATAATGAAAGTGCAGTTAAACGAGCACGTAGTAAACCAACAGCTTCAGGAAATCCAGGATTAATCAATCGAAGGGATGATATTTGTGAGGAATGAACTGTGGAAGGTAAATACCATGAATTCCACAACTCTAGTACAGCTTCAACTCCTTTATCCATCATTGTTTTATGAAGTTCTGCTAGTTGATTAGAAAGTGTAGACTGAATGCTTTGAGCTTGACATTCAGAGGACGATACCTGAAAATAATCACCAGTTAATAACTTAAACACAAATATAAATAAAATACAATTCAGTATACTCGACTGTCTAGACATCGGTAGGCGAAGCGGGGTTCGAACCTGCTACCCACTACTACTAGTTGAAAGTCAACTGGCTAGATTAGTGAAATACAACTTTATAGTAAGGAAAAAATGATGACAGAATCGCTACATTCTACCTTTCTTAAGTGCATTAGTGTGTTATATTCACGTTTGGAATTTGAGGATAGTAATTTTCTAGCACAATGGTCATACACATCACAGTGAGTTACAAATAATATGTCGTCACATAAGAGCGAATGCATAAGGCCGTAATCTACACCGATGAGATACTTTACGAAATCGGTATGATGGGATCAAGAATGTGACTTAAAACTTAACTCCTCCACTCCCTCTTATAAACTACAACTCTAAATATTGATACTGAAGGTGAAGTGAAAATTTGGACCGCAGCCAGATTCGAACCAGTGAACACCAGGATTTCCGACTCGGTGCTCTACTAACTGAGCTACAAGGTCCAACTGCTGACCAGATTTTTATTTCACTTCAATCATCAAAGGTTTTTCTCGACAACTATGTGAATTCGTGACACATTACTATCGCTTGATCGTACTCATACTGGTTGCCCAGTCACCACTTTTCTTCTTGATCGAAATCCACTCGAATTAGATAGAGGGAGCATCATATTGATTATCATTTTGACTATTTGAGATAGCCGTGATTTGGCAGACTTGTAATATTTATACTGGGTGATGATTGAATGTGAAATGAAAATCTGGACAGCAGCCGGATTCGAACCAGCAACTCTAGATATGAAAATCGTGCATAATATACCAATAAGAAGACTTCCTACTGTTGAAAAGAGACATATATATTATTTTCAATAGATAGTGTAGGCGGATCAGTCAGAAAAGGAAGTCATAGTACTGGACTTAAGAGAACTAGAGTATACCATGATAAAGTTCTGTTTAGCAATCTGAGAAAGTGAACACACCAGAAAGTAGATATGTGGAATGATGCGTTTAATTAGTGAAATGACATAACATTTAAGTTTTTACATTACTTTATATTGGATAGAAAATGCATGCACCGGTAAAATATGTCAAACTAGCTTCATTAGTGACAGACACTCATATCACACACAGTTTGTATTAACATTGCTAACTATTTCCATGTTATATGAGACTTTATAAAGCATTACTACTGTTACGTAGCGACAAAAGGCAGCCAATAGGGGAGTTGTTTTCAAGTCATGATCAGATCACGTTCAGGTTGCATGCGCTGACATGGGAACCTGATTGGAGAAATTCGACCTCATACAAGAAATCGGATTGGCTCATTTATAGCTTCACTTTCTGAGTTTTGTAAATACATATATGTATTTGCCTAACAAAGGTTGTCGCTGTTCTTACAGTCACAGGCCGTCTTTATCTTCCGATTTCTCAGCGGCTCAGTGAAGCAGAAGGTACTGAAGGATATCAGTCGTAAAGGTATTCGGTTGAGGTGTCTGTGGAGTCTCAGTATTCATTATACACACGCGCGCAACCCCACCACTCGGTCACAACAACTACTAATTTTACACCACTTTTTATGTTGAACAACATTCAAATTACAACAGCTTTAATTTTCTTGTGGTGACGATGGTGTACAATTTGATACACATTTATGTATCAGGTTGTAAGTGACATTTTGTGTCAAGGGTTATGATATCCCCACCCCCCAGTTGTCCATGTTGAATTAGGAGCAGTGTGGTTGGAACCTGACACCCACTCTGCTTGAAAGTTAAAGTGCTTAACCCAAAAAAAATCAAACTTCCACTTAATTTTCTTGATGTAGTATGGTTATCTCATCAACACAATAAAATAGTGGAGCAGCGACTCACTGGCCTACTAAAACGGACTCATCCATAACTTGGATTGAAATGCCCGTCTAGGTAAGTGGATGCGTAGTAAAGCAAATATAAACGCAAGAGGTGTGGTTTAGTTAGCATCAATGTGGGACTTAATACTGCTGCGTAATGGTCACTGTTGCCACACCTGATATCGGCGCATCAAAATGAAATACAAGTAATCAGAAGTGGTAGGAAGTCGTAAAGAGAATAATAAGGAATGAAACAATAGTGAAATTCGGCATGATGATTAAGAAGGAAAGAAAATATGAATGCATCTGCGGTGTTGATATTCATTGAGCTAAACTATCTACAGTCTCCAACCATGAATTTTGCTTGTCACACGGAACCCAATCGGTTTAACAGTCAAAGACTTCATAGATTGATGGTCATGTTCTAGTTTGACAGCTTCTCACCTTTTTCTAGCCTGAAACATTGTGCTGTGAGACATACGATGAGTAGGCACGCGAAACACATGTCCCATCCATCTGAGTCGACGCTTCACGATTTCATCTACTGATTTATTCCTCCTGCTTTAAACTCTGAGTCAGACTTTTATATTCCTAATATGGGCGCACCACGAAACATTGCATGTGCTATGAAAGTGATGATGGTATAACATCCGGAACCTTCTTGTATTCTGCGCATTTAATTGGCACGCAGAACTTTTAACAGAGTGATATACTTATACGGCAATCCCTTCAATGAGACACTGCTGTTGCTGAAAGCAAAGAGTGATCACTATCTAAACACGTGCTCGGCAAGGAGCGGCAATTTTTTACCAACCCTCTCTAGCGATGACTGATAACAGTCTAACTTCGAGTTGAGATAAGTGAACGACACGTCAGACAATGTTTCGCTTCATATCTGAAGTTTGTGCTGACCAGAAATAGATGGTTGTCTGAGCACTGTTATAGCAGGCAACCATCGTTATATCTGTTCATTCAGCTGGGATTTCAAAAGTGTCAAATAGGTGGGTTGAAACCACTTGAAACAACAACTACATCTGAACGTTTGGTTTTCAGTAGGTGGCTAGGATGCTTTCGATAGATCACAAATAAATTGCACCAAATCTAACTGATCTTTCTGGTTCTCACTGGACTGTTTAGTCGAACATCACACTGATAACTTTGACTGGGATCCAGTTAGGCAGTGTAATTTCTCCCTTAAGATTTAAGGCTATACCTATACCTACAAGACCACGAGAAGTAGCTAAGGAATCTCCAGAAACTCGAAGGGTGAATTTTGAAGATCCACAATGTTAGCTACACTTGCTTCCTGTATGCGTATCTCACAAACACAATAAACGTCCATGGCTGGAAATGTCAGTATTGGTTAGTGAAGGTTGTTGACTGATTTGACAGAGAGTTTAGACATTGAAATCTGCAATGCATATTTTGAAGCACGGCTTTAGGAGACTCAAGATGTTGTTCCGTGAACTCGAATGTGTATCAAGAGATGTAGAAATGGAGGAAATCAAAGATGAAGTAGGAATATTGGCCAGGAGATACGCGAAAATATTAAAAGGGAAAAATGTTGAAGGTTAGTAATGATCTAAAGGAACATGAGTAGTGATACAGTTGTGAAGGCGGTTAACACTTCCCAGCTGCTCACATCACGGAAAACTATTTCTTCTCGAGGTTACTTGAAAAAGAAATAGCATTAGTAAGTAGTGCATGACTGAAAAGATCACAGGACATTAGCTTGAAGCCGGTCATATACGGCCATACTGTAAGTTTGAGACATAACTTTGCGTTAAATCCCGCTAAAAAATCATGCAGCCAGCTCTGTAAAATTACAGGCCATAAAAGTGTCATCAATCGGGTAGACCTTTTTAGTATATCCAATAACATGATAATCATCAAAACAGTCAATGAAAATTCCATTCTGTGAGCTTACGACAAGAGAATAAAAACATTCTATATTGATCATTGAAACAGATTGGGAGGAAAAAAACCTGTTGATTACCTCATCTTTTAATATAGACTGTGAATTCTTCATCTCCTTAGCATCATTTAGGCTAATTGAAAACAAGAACAAAATATATTGGAGTTGTACATTTTTACCATGAATATAATCACAATTAATCTATAAGCAAAAAGTAGGTTGACAAAAAGACTATCAGCTATTCGAGTTAACTATGACACAATGATGAAAATTTCATAACAATAAGGCATAAATACTATCTTTATAAAATTCGATAAAGCAACAATATACAACTAATCTAATTACATCTACCCTGAGATTTTATTATGCAACTTGTTACTAAAATGTACAATTCACCTTTAACAGTAATCTGTACAGATAAGTTGATAGTGTCTATGAAATGTGTATTAAGCCCTATATATACAGACATATTAGAGGTGATGAAGATACCGCACCACCGCCAACAACAACAAACTCCAGTCAGCATCAACGGGAGAAACTTAAAGGAAGTAACCTCCTTCACCCACCCTCCTAGGAAGCACTGTTTCAACTACAGGCAGCACAGACGAGGATTTCAAAGTCAGAATCGGATAAGCAAGACAGGCCTTCATTAGCCTGAAACCAGTGTGGAGATCTTTTGCACTCAGCATGCGGAACAAGATACGGATTTTCAACACCAACGTCAAGTCAGTGCTTCTGTATGGTATGGTTGAGGGACTTGGCACCTCACGAAAGGGATTTCCAATAAACTACAGACATTCACCAACAACTGCTTACGCTCGCTACTGAAGATCAGATGGCCAGAAGGAATAAGCAACAAGGTGCTCTGGGAACGAACCAACCAAGAACCTATCATCCAACAAATATGCAGGAGGAAGTGGAGATGGATTGGCCATGCACTGAGAAGGCCGACTGGGGACATCACGCGTCAGGCCAGTTGCTCGAGTGGAATCCCCATGGGAAGCGATGAGTTGGATGTCCCAACTGAGGGTGACATGGAGGAGGTCGTGCGAGGAAGAAATGAGAGGTTGTGGGCTGTGGTGGAACCAGGTTCAAAAGATCTCAGAGAACAGAGGTCACTGGAGACGTGCTACTGAAGCCCTATGTTCCACTAGGAACCCAAGGGACTAATAATAATAATAATACAGACATATTTCTGGTAAAATTGAAAAATGGTCCTTTGAAAGAACAAATTGTCAAATATGAAGTTGTACTGTCGATATATGGATGATACTTTCATAGTCTTAGATATGTGACTATGCATTAATTCTATTCTAAACCATTTCAAAAACATCCAACCATCCACTATGAAGGTGAAGTCAATGATTCGATGCATTTTCTTTATATGCTAATAACACGAAAAGAAAATGGCTCTATACTGAGAAGCATATATAAAAAATCAACGTCAAAGACTTAATATATACACTTTCTCAGTTTCATATCGGTGAAGTACAAGCAATATAATCCAGTGTCTGGTATTTAAAGTAAGATTGATTTGCTCCAAGGAGTGTGTAGAAAAACAACTACTGTATATCCTTGTTATTCTGAGAGAAAACGGATATCTTCAAAAGTTCATCAAAGCTAACATCCTAAACAGCAATTGATGACAGTGGAGAAGAAGCCTTTGCTTCTATGTTCACAATTCAAGTGAGAAGTTCCAAATGACATCCAATCATGACGTCTAGTTACGGCAGTCAATAGAACGTTTTATGGAGATCAGCTTTGCATATCTTTCAGTAGTCGACCTATGATCAATCTTAGCTCTTCATCTGGTATATACTAATTCAACTGTTCCTATGGAAGAAGTTACATAAAGCGTACGATTAGGCAGGTGTGTCTCCAAACACCTGGTTTGGAAGGGTTAGGTGAAAGTGGTAAAACGTTCCATCCTAGTGCAATTGGTAAGCACAGGGTATCACATATACGCTAATAGAACTTCCAGTGTCATATATAGTACGCACTGCTGAGGAGATTTTCATACTAGGGCGAAACACCTATCCAGTACTCTCAGATTTCTAATGTTCCTCCAACTGATATCAGTTCGTCAATTCCAACCTAAAATCACAACATCACAGCCAAAAAACAAGACCCAACGCCTGCTAAACATAACTCATGCTGTAGTAATAAATATGATCAAACTGTAATTTTGCATTCGAAAAGATCACGTTCAGGCGTGTTACTTAGAAAAGTAAAAGCCACTCGTGTCTTCATTATTCCTTGTCTTTTCGCTCGCCATCACACTATTTCCTCTGTGTATACATATCAGCCTAATATTGAGAAATTTAAGAAAAGAAAAATCGATTTCTTTACAGTTGTTAAATCTCCCTTTATTTTGAAAATATGTCTCCCTCTATCTTGGCTACTTTTTACTCTGTATAATTGTAGAACCTGATGAGAATTTCATTGAGAATATTTTCCCTTTAAATTACTGCATTTTACTAACTTGTTAATGACTTTCTCCTAGACTGTTATCTCGAGTTGTATATAACTTAATTCAGACAGATCATCTAGTATAATACCAACAGGAAATCACAAGTATCAAACAACAAGTAATACCTGTTGCAAAAAAAAGTTGGCTTTTGTACCCCAGTGGATAACGCTCTAGTGTTTATAGTGATGAGCACCGGGTTCGAGCCCCAGTGGGGACAACATTCCTCACTGAGGTGCAGGGACATCCAGCTTATAAATCCTAAATAGAAGGATACGCCAGTCTTGGATATTACTACTGCTAGTCACTAAGTAGATCACTGCATACTTTAGCGAATAGATGTAATCCGATAGTGTTGAATGCAAAAAAAAAATTTCTATAATCTTTAAGTGAATAATCTGATACCATAAAACTTCAACTAACGCTTCATAACTTCTTTGTACATGGCTCATCAGGACTCCAACCCATGGCTTTATTTTATTCTCTACACACAAATAGAAATAGTTCAATGTTCAATTTTTAACCATGTGTTAGTCTACCTGACTAGATAAAAAGTTTATAACTATGGTCTTGCTCATATACAAACTGGAGATAAGGAGGTAAACAACTTCTATTGTTCATTTACAGTAAAGTAAGTAAACAATACGAAATTGAACTGAAATCTACTCATAAACTTTGTCCCACAAGTAATGAGTCACACCTTATTGTGTTAGGGCTAGTGATACCACCTAGCTGAGTAAACCTCGATAGGTGAAGAGGCGTTTGAATCGATGAATCAAGTAATTAATACAAGTAAATTATACTTTTTGGAAAAAAAACATACCAACTAACAACTTTCTCAATCAAACCAGATTCTATTAATTGTGGAACAGAGGATAAGATTTCATGCAATAATTCCAACATTTCAGTATTGTTAACCCAACGGGATAATAGTGATTCAATGACTAAATTGACAGCTCCTCCTTTTACAATGAAATCAACATCTTCAGTTACTAAACTCATCTAATAAACAAAACGGGAAGGAAAGTAAAATAACGTTATACAAACTAAACCAAAATGAAATATGAAACAAAGAAAACAGCAAATAACATAACTGTCTATAAATACTACTTATTCACAATAAGTTACAGTTTGCTTCCTACTAATCAGTATAAAAATCACTAACTGCCAGTAAACTAAAATTTTATTATTATTATTATTTATCCTTTTGGTTCCTAGTGGAACATAGACCTTCAATAGCACATCGCCATTTCACTCCATTCTCTCCACTCTTTCCAACCTGGCTCCATCACTGCCCACAAGTTTTTATTTCTTCCTCACATCATCTCCTCCATGACACCCCACGTTAGAACGCTCAACTCGTCGTCTCCCAGTTCACTTCAACCAGAGTGCCTCGTCTCATGCATCATGTACCCAAACTGTCTTCTCAGTCTATGTCTAATCCAATACAATCCATCTCCACTTCATTCTACTACATTCTTCTTGCACAACAGGTTCTTGGTTGGTTCCTTGCCAGCCAGCCAGCCAGCCACACTTCCTCCTTGCTTATTCCTGCTTATTATTCTCCCCATCTCATCTCCATCTTCAGTGTCACTATCCAGTCAGCGTAGCTGCCAGCTGTTCATGTCATGCATGTGTGCAGTTTGTTGAGAATTCTTTTCGTAACGCACCAAGTCTCTTAACCACCTATTGCAAGCATTCACTGACTTCACTGACATTAGTGTTCAAAATCCGGATCTTGTTCACCCTTTATGCTGAGTGAAGTGCAGCACAGTGGAGTAAATCTCCACACTCATTGGTTTCAGATTAATGCAGGAAGGCCTGACTTGCTGTTTTTCCGACCCCGGCTTTGACGTGGTCATCTGTGCCGCCATCTGTAGTTGAAACAATGCTTCCTAGCTAGGTGTAGGTGAAAGAGATAACTTCTTTTCGATTTCTCCCACTGATGGCGATTGGTGCTTGTTATTGTTGTTGCTGATGTTGGTTGGATATCTTCATCACCTCCGTCTTCTCTACGTTCACCTGAAGGAATCCCGGTCTTCGCTGCCTCGTCTCGCCTCCTCTGCCAACTTATTGGTTTTCGCCTATAGATCTTTGAGAGTGTGCAACATGAGTCAAACACAAATAATCATGGGCGGGATCTAAATCTTCTAGGGTCTTTTCATCGGTCCAGCCAGCGTATGCCCAACTTCTCACTTCTCACACTTTGTTACATGGTCCAGTCTACTACAATCAGGAAGATCATTGTGTCTTCCCTTCAAAGTTATCATTGAACTTTCTATTGTGAATCACTTCGCATGTAGCGTCGTCATTTAGCTGTTGAATGAGATTGATGGCTTGTGGCACTAAAATCGTAGTGTTGAGGCGGCTGCCAAATTACTTCTCGGTCGACGCTGTCGAAAGCCTATTCAAAGTCAATGAAGTTGAGATAAAGAGTTGACTGCTACTCATTCTATGCTTTGTTCAATGATGATGCGTAGCGTAGCATTGCAATTTGATCCGTACATGATTTGTTCTTCCTGAAGCCAGCCAGCCAGTTCCAGTCGTAATTATATTAAAATTACGATTAGGTTATAACTCTTATATATGCAGCAATGTGCTGGAGAGAGACTTTACAGCTGCTGTCTATGGTTGATAGGGTTTGGGGAATCTTATCCTTTACAGTAAGTTTGGAAAAAAGAAAAGTCTTACACCATTAAAATCAGTTTGCATAAAGGAGATGTGGATTACTGGTCTAAACGGTAAACTTTCAACCAATAGGTCACAGTTTCGAACTATACTCTATGTACAAGAGTTTGGAAAACCAGTTAGTATACCATAAGCCTTCACAATAGATTTAGTTCACTGTCTACTGTATGGACCTGAACGTGGTTGGTTGCTAGGTTATACAATTTACGAGATAAATACACAATGAAAGAACATAACTTAATCACATTACTGAAAATTACTCAGCTGTGATACAGTCCTAGTTGACCATCCACGTTTTCACGTTTATATGTCAAAAAAAGGAGAAAACTCAATTGAATGAGACACACAAGAAAAGCTCATCAAGTAATTGACCACAAACTTTAATATTGTCAAAATATTACAACTTCAATTACTGGTAAGTATACACTGACGTGATTTAGAAGCTATCCATGGAAGGAAATACACAATTTTGCGTTCATTTCATGCTACTTATCTTTCCTTCCAATTTTGCCTTCCTAGGATACCCTTAAGTGTGAGAAGAAGGATGGTATACTAGATCTAAACGCATCCTCCTTCTCAATTATATCATGTAATATACCAAAGTTAACATCAATAAAGTTAAACTAAAACGTTTACTATACTACTTAAAACAACTTACGAATTGTTTATTATCAATTTCCGCTTTCTTTGATACAGATTTCGACTTCTTTTTTTTGATACATTCACTTAGACTGCTGTCGTCTACAGACATATTAATGATAGTATTATTACAGCTTTCATATCGTGGAAGGATACGAGAACGAAAGAAATCTAAAGCATTAATCTCTAGTTTGGCTAATTCTAAGTGTAGTAGATCACATTCAGGATTTAAAGAAATCCCTTCAGTCAACAGATGACGAGCTTCTCGAATTGCATACAAATGGGCTCGATCCCAAGTGAGACGGCGTTCTCTAGTTATCTCTTTAGTTGCTTCATCTATGGAGAGTTGATTTTCTTCTAAAAATTACAAAACAACACTTAAAATATGAATGAATAATGATACGGTCAAAGAAATATAACTTCTACGGAAGAGAAAAAGACTCTATCGATAAATATTGTAACGACAGGCGTTTTTCATCTTCATAGACCTTAGTATATTATTATGATTGTATTATTATTTTTCCCTTGGGTTCCTAGTGGAACATAGGGCTTCAGTAGCACGACTCCATTCCATTCTGTTCTTTGCAGTCTTCGTAACCTCGCTTCACGACTGTCCATAACCTTTCATTTCTTTCTCACATCATCTCCTCCATGTCACCCTCACCTGGAACGCCCAATTCGTCGTTTCCCTTTGGATTCCATTCGAGGACCCGGCCTGGCGCGTGATATCCCCAAACCGTCTTCTTAGTGTATGCCCAATCCATCTCCACTTCCTTCTGCATACTTGTTGGGTGATAGGTTCGTCACCAGCCAGAGTTCCTTCTTACTTATTACTTCTGGCCATCTGATCTTCAGTAACGAGCCAGCGTAGACAGTTGTTGATGAATGTAGGTAGTTTGTTGGAAGTGTTTTTCGTCACCCGCCAAGTTTCTCAACCACATAGCAGCACTGACTTGACCGAATTGGTGTTAAAAATCCCGATGTTGTTCACGCTTTATGCTGGAGTGCAAAAGATCTCCACACTGGTTCCAGGTTAATGAAGGCTTGTCCTGCTTTTCCGATCCTGGTTTTGACATCCTCGTCTATGCCGCCTGTAGTTGAAACGATGCTGCCCAGGTAGGTGAAAGAAACTACTTCCTTTAGGTTTATCCCGTTAATGGTGATTGCTGCTTGTTGTTCATGCCGTTGTTCGTTGGGTATCTTCATCAGCTCCGTCTTCTCTACATTCACTTGAAGTCCTGTTTTCGCTGCCTATTCTATCAACGTGTTAGTTTTCGCCTGTACATCTTAGACCTAAGTATATAACTGTTGCAAATTTGACGCAAAAGCTATTTGAGAAATATATCACGTATGAATGAATTTATGGATCTAGGGTGTACCAGATCGCATGTTTAACTGCAAAAATTAATAATCCTGTCAAAAGTAGCTACTTTTAGGTTAAGAGGATGGTCTGCTGGTGATAACTCTTTACTTCTGAATTATTTCTATTGTATAGCCTTTGTAAACATTAAGTTTTACGATTTGTCAGCTGACAGTTATGAGACAATGTTAGTGGTGAAAACTAATGTGACAGAACATTTTAAACCATCCAAAAGTAAATAAATAGGGATAGCATTCCACAGAAAAGTAAACAAATGCTATTTATTATACACAGGCTTTCGGATACTTACTGTTTAAAGTTTCAAGCCTGTATCTCCCTAATAACCAAAATAGGTTAAACGACCTTTATCCTACTTAGGTAATATCAGTGAATATGGGTTGATTGCTTAGCAATAATTTATCTCGAGTAATAAAAGCTATATGGCAGGAAGTGTAGAGCTAAGAGATAAGATTTCAGTTGTCAGTTAGATACATAAACATACTTCATGTATATTCACGCTACTAATTTGAGCTATTTAAGGAAATGGAAATCGAATTGTAGAATTCAGTGATCAGGAAAACTAATGAACATTTTATTGGTTACACTGTTTTATCATCCTTTTCATAAATGAATAGTACAAAGCACTGTTTTGACCATTCCGACCTTCCATTCATATGTTTACTTTCAGTTTCCAGCTATGAAGTCAGTAGGTAACTTATATAAATATATATCTATATATAGATTGCCAAAAAGTAAGAGATCTAGGTTCTAGGGCTTCCTCTCGATTCGTACCAGCCATATGGCACCAAAGTGCACTACGATGCGGAGTCTCTTAGCTTCATGACCTTATCACACAGTAATCGATAGAATTCGGTCAGCGTTCAGGATTAGACAACATCTGTTTGGTTACCCGCAAGTGACGAATCAATTTACCCAATGTAGTCCTGCAGGAGATCGACTGCAGCCTGAAAGGCTTATCAGTCACGTCTTTGACCACAGTATTAAGTGATGTAAATTCTAACCTCTTAGGGAAAATCAGTTTCCTCAAGGTTGCAGCTACGACCTGTTGATGAGTGCAGAAAGGCACGAAAACAAAGTTTATATAGTCCTGTCGATTGCTTCTAACATTACCACTATTAGCTTTAGCTTTAAGCTGACTAGTTAATAAATTAATATGTGCTCCATCTATCTGATTTGGACAACTGATCATCTCTATTAACTGTTTGCTAGGTACTTATGCCTTTTTTAAAAAAATGCGAAGATCCGCGATTTATATTGAAACAACAAACTTCTAACAATTATTTGCAAATTACTCATTATTCTGAAGTAGCAATAGTCAGTTTCCATGTAATCTTATCTTCCTAGACCTGCTTAAGTGAACAGTGTTAGAGTATAATAGTGTAATGTGTTGTATATTTTCCTTCAATGACTTACTCAACTCCTTCATAAGCTCATTGAGCTTATGCTTCTCTTCTCTTGATGCATGACGATTCAACACTGAATATTCACTTCGCAGTCTTTTACGTGCTTGCAGTAATTCATTTTTCTGTTTTGTGAAACTGCGGAGATCTGCACGAGCCTCAGCTCTAACACCATGATGTAGGTGGTATGCAGCTGCAGCAATCCATAATCTAGGATCTGTTCGACCATGTATTTGCAAAACATTATTCCATATGCGCACAACCGACAAATGGCGACCAATAATTTTACAAAAGTGAATAAAACGCATCCAAAGGTCAATATGAGACTGAAATCTGTAACACAATTGCTATAATATGCAAAAATATTATTGATAGTTGTGCATGTTTGATAATAATTACCCGATGTAAACGTATAAGGCGACTAATAATTGACTTTTCAATCTTATCAACATATCTGCTGTCTTCTGCAATCTAAAGAGTATAAATCATCAACAGGATTAGACAACCTGACGACGAAAACGTAGTAATTTGATTATTGTCAGTTCAGTACTAATGTAGGCATCATAGTCAATAATTCGTTTATTGCGCTTCTGTAGAGCATACTCATGATACCTTCTTTTGCGGACTATTTCACTGTTAAAAAAGAAAAAGTATATGATTAAAACAGCAAAAGTGAAGCAAAACGTTTTACAGAAATCCCACCGAATATTTATTTGATGAATACACCAAATACCAAGCAAACAATTTTTGTAGGAAAATAGATCACGGCTGGAAAAAAAATAGTGTGACCACTACCAGACTGATGATGATAGCGGAGTGGTATTTGTAATGAAGAATGGTATGATTTACGCAACTGCTTATTCCGAGTTGTTTGTAATGATCTATATAACTATAGCATTACAACTGACAAGTGAGGTAAATATTCATTCGTTACGATTTTGTAACTTTGATTACCGTAACTTTCATATGAATCACTGCCTTTTAAGAACTCCTTAACAATTAATACCAATCAACATAACTTTCAGACATAATCTTGAACTATTATTAATGGCTAGCAGTGGAATCCAGGACGCACGTTTCGTCTTATATGGAATTCGTCAGCTGAGTGTACCTCCCTCCTAGTGAACGATGTTGTGCCCGCTAAGACTCGAAACCGGGACCGATCGCTTCTGACGCCAGAACGTTACCCACTAGGCCACTGAGTCATAATAGCCACTTTTTGTGCAATGGGTATGGTTGTTATGTTGTTACTTGTACTATCCCATCGTTGATTGGACCGAATTGGTTGGTCTTTATTGGCATATACGCTTCTGCATGGATGCCTCGATACTGCTTGTTGCAATTTTATATCATTGTTGTATAGTAGCTAGCAATGAAATGTATCACTACTATAAAACTGAAATGACAGGCAATATCGAAGCATCTGAGCAGAAACCCATATGCCGATGGTGTTATGATTTGGAAACTGCTTTATGTGCTACGGTCGCTAACAATGCATGGATATCGACTGTCAACCACCAACGTTCAACAGATTCCTAGTTGATTACCGACCCGACTAATTGATGGACAAGACACGATGGACGTGTAGAAACGTGTATTGGGGAGGAAAGACCGAAAACCAAAACAAAGGAAAATAGAGTTATATATTTTTGAGATGAATGAGGATTTTCAATTTAGAAGTAGTATTCATCATGGACTGCTGAGGAGTCCCATACTAGGACGAAACAGCTGTCCAGTGCTCCCAGATTTTCAATGGTTCCCCAACTGATGTCAGTCCATGATGAATACTACTTCGAAAATGGAGTTAATAAATGGAGACCAACCAATTCGGTTCGGCCAACGACGAGATAATACAATTAACGACATAATATCCAACGGTTCACCGAATTACGATAAACAGAGGAAAGTTCCCATTTAAATTCCACACAATAACCAAAATTAAGGGTTTTCGAAGAACTAAGTGTTGTGCAGGTCTTAATAAACGCTGTTTACTGATGAGGCGGACGGTAAAATCAGAATAGGTTTAACAGTTATTGGTGTGAAATGCTAGTTAGCTGCTAACATGATGGTAATTAAAAAAACAATATTCCTTCTGCTTTTTCTACTACGTAAAAAACATGAGTGAAAACAATTAAGTGCTTGATGATGTGGTTAATCAACCAAAGCACTTAACTTTTGACCAATTGGTATCGCGTTCGGACTCCGCTTTATTTACTTCGAACTGAAAAATCGGGTATTATTATAAACACACGTGTGACTTATAGCCTAGTACATAAATATATGTACCAGTTGAATTGTCCCTAAAAGTGATAATTAGTGCTTGATTTTTCTTGTTTTTTAGAGGCAAGAACGTTGGGTGAGATACTGAGGTTAGTTCAACTGGACCACAGGAACACCTAAGTTGTTCAGTATCCAGTCTGAACCTTAATGGCATATGGACGCAGGTCCTCCAAGTATTCATGACGTTCAGAAAGCTGTATTTAATTTGAAACGATGAGAAGCAGCTGGATCTGACGGTTTGCCAACAAAGCTTTTATGGTAGCAAGTAGAAAGTTAGTGAGTAGAGTAGTAGAGGAAATAGTGTGTTGGAATCAAAAAAGATTCTACCAAACTGGTCTAGATCATTTATCGTTCGTCTACAAGAAAGGAAAGGCCTTTTTGTGATAATTATGGGGGAATCGGTTTAACTCATACATCCGCAATCCGTAGGTCAATAGTTATCTGAAGCCGAACTAGAGATCAAGAGCAAGCTCGGGAGAACCAAACAGGTTTTAGACCTTAACTATGATGCATCGACCAGATTTTCATCTCTCGACAGGTCCAGAAACAGAGGCGTACTTACCGCCGGCTGTCGACACTTGCCATTTTTTAACCTGAAGGCGTCATTCGACTCTCGACCATGAGGTGCAGTGGCAGTATCTGACTGTGAAGCGAGTACCCAGAAATTATATAATGCTTAACAAAGCTCCTTCCTCGAACTGATGCACCCGTGTAGAGGGGTATGGAGAGTTATCATCTGAAATGACGATAACTAGCGGTGTCCGCCAGGGATGCCTACTGCCAACGTCACTGTTTAATTTCGTCATAGATATACTGATGGGCACAACTTCAAGTAAGTTTGACTTCTCAGGTATTAATATATTCCATGGAGGTCACTGGTTCCCTCTAAGTACACAGGTGACATTGTCTTGTCAGACAACGGCGGTGACAAAATATAGGGTCTTCTGAACGAATTGAGCGGAAATCTGAGTATTTCTGACATGCGTTTCGCATCAGATAAACGTAAGATGCAGCAGGACTGATCTGAAACTACTCCTAACCTAATGATAAAGAGTCAAGTGGCAGAATACGTCCGCCACTTCGCTTACATGAGGAGTTGCATCAACTCAAACGACCTGGTTGTTGGAAAAATCTCAGCTCGGATACAGAGAACTCGCTTGGCTTTTGCCAACTTACATCATCTGTGGCGCTGACCAGTGAGGTCCGACTAAGTATCAAAGGACAAGTAAAATGAGCTGCTGTGTGGTTAAATCACTGGAATATGGCCGTTAAAAGTTGAAGACATGGAGCGATTACAGGGTTTTCATGATAGGTGTCTCTGTGGCACTGCCTGCATTTAATAGGATCACTGTGAGCAATGTTGAGGTCAAGCGAAAGGTACTGGGTAAGACGGGCAAGTCGACTGGTGAGGCATGAACCCTCCTCGTCTGAGGTGGCTTGGACATGCACTGAGCATGCCCAGCCACCACCTACCTCAACGTGCCATGCTACAGCAAGAAGACGTTACAGTGGCCAAACCAAAACATGGCTACAGTTCATGAAATTCCTGACTGTTGAACTATGTAGGGAGTGTAGATCACCTGGTTGAGGTTTCCGAGACGATTAGGATCAGCAACTGAGGTCTCTTGATGGCAAAGTTGAAAATCGGTCACAACGCTGTAGATGTATTCACTCTTAGACGATTTCTGAAGCTTGAACGTTATGCCTCACCTTCATTTTTAAATTCATCTGCCTCTCATACTTCTCTGTCTACTTTGGTATGTCCTTTTCTACCCAATTGTTATTTATATACTGCTTTGAGTTGGGGTAACTTGAACCAAAGTACTTGTGCGCGAATTTTTAGGTTGATTTCGTCTGTCTGATACTTCATACAGGGTACATGTTCGATAACACTAAGAGGAAATGCACTTTATATAACCACTTAGTTTAACTGTGATATCCGTATTTTTCGATGTGAGTGCTTGGTTTCGGAGCCAAAAACTCAAACGTTACCTTACCCTGGGCTTCAATTCTGCATTAGCTAGAGCATATTAACATGAAAAAGCTGAACTCTGGTTTAATACTCTTTGCCCTAAGGTTTAGTTCAAACGTTGACACGCCACTGTTAGAGAATGATGAAACGACCAAAAATCGGGTCTTATTTCTAACACAATGAAAAGTTTTATACACAAACCAGAGCCCATTACGACTTACTTAACTTCCAACTTGCTAAACAGCTTTGCTTTTCGTATGTGAAGAATCTCACCAACTGAGTCTTCCAAGTTACGCTCTACAACTTCCGCCATTGTTTCTACTTTTCTACCAGATTTATATCAGAAATTAAGAAACGAATGGTCGTGAAGCCCAAGTCAGCAAATGTTACGCTGAAACCACTGTTTCTGCAACTCAAATGCCGCCAGGTCCACAAGGTCATGCTTACGCCAGCGGTCCAAAATCCAATATCTTTTTAACGAGCTTGTGTAACCTGGTTGATTTCTTCTCGCTCGCTTCTTGGTCTTTAGAAACGGCTCCAGATCTCTGGCGGATTCCGATGCAGTAGGTCCAGCCACTGGTCTGCTATAGCTCTGATTTACAGAACAGGAAGTGTTGGTTTGTTTGCCTTGGACTGTGGTGCAGTCGGCCTCTTCAGATGTCGAGTTGCCAGACAGTTGTTAGGACTGGTCGCTACAGAGGGTTGAGGATAGTGAAGATAAAACCTAGAAAGTGTTTGTGTGAGTAAAAGAAAAGAGGAAAAGTAAACTAATGGAGTAATCTACTTACACCCAAGTAAGGTGAGTAGGGGTGCAAAGGTGAGAAGATCTTAGGTAAGTGAGGCCAACTTATGGCAAGTGGAAGGTGTGAAAAGGGCCTAAATGGCTACAATAGAAAGAAAACTGGTTGGGGTGGCTTGACATCACTTCATGTTCCAGCTATGCGTGGGTAGACCGTGAGTCTCTGCATGACTGTCTAGCCTCTTCTTGAGGCTTTCAACAGTTGGGGCGGGGGAGACCACCTCCGTTGGTAATGCGTTCCAGTACCCACAGACTCGATGGTGGAAAAAACTGTGAACGCGCATGCGTTTTTGACCTCTGGTTTGCTATTCTATTGGGGTTTCCTCGGGGATCTCCGTAGTGGCCACTCGGTAGGACTCATCTGTTTGGGTGACTTGGGTCACTCATTATTTTGTAAGCCATTATTAAGTCGCCACATATCCTTCGATGGCTGAGGGAGCACAGATTTAGGTCTTTGAGTCTATCCTCATATGGTTTTCGTTGCATTCCAACAACCCCTTTTGTGACTCGTCTCTGGACTTTCTCTAGTAAGTTCGTGCCTCTCTTCAGCTGTGGTGGAGCGAAGACGTTATGGACATCTAAGTAGGGCCTTATGTGAGTCTTGTGGAGCTTCAGAAAGATTTCTGGGGTGAGGGCATTCAGTTGTCTAATTACAAAGCGCAGTACCCAATATGCTTTTGAGACATCACCTGGGTAATTGGAACTGGTGTCCAGTTTCTCCGTCACCGTTAGACCCAGGTCTTTTTCTACTGTGGTATGGGATAGACGTGAACCACAGAGATAGTAGGATGCTTTCTGGTGATCAGGAGTGCGGAAAACATGCACCGGCACTTATCCGGATTAAGGCCGGCTTGCTATTAGTTCCTCATTCCTCTGGTGTTCTGAGGTCCTTCTGTAATGCCGTAGATTCCGCCTCGCAAGTTATTGCCCTCCGTAACCTGACATCATCAGCGTATAGGAGAATCGGGGAGTTGATATGTTGCGGCAGGTCATTTACGAAAAGTAGGAACAACAGTGGGCCCAAGATTGCTCCTTGTGAGACACCGGATGAGGATGTTCTCCAAGTTGAGTAGACCCTGTTGACTTTCGTGCAGAACTCCCTGTTATCTAAGTAGTTCTGCAGCCACGATAGCACCTGGCTGCGAATACCTAACCCAGCTATCTTATGTATTAGGATATGGAGTGAGACGGTGTCAAAGGCTTTGGCGAAGTCCGAAAAAATTGCGTGGACCGGGACCTTGAGATCTCAGCATGCTGTCCAGTGATCACGGACCGTCAGGAGGTTGGAGGCACAGGACCTACCCTTCCGGAAGCCATGTTGAGCGTCACTGAGTGCCCGCTTGGTGTCCAGATATTCTCTGATACGGTCGTCCATCACACTTTCCATTACTTTTGATATTACTGGTATAAGTGCTATGGGCCCATAACAGTTGGGATTCTGTCTGTCTCCTCCTCTGAAGATGGGAGAAAGGATAGCCCGTTTCCACTCTCGTCGGAGCTTTCGCTCATCCAAGGAGTGTTGAAAGAGGTCGCAGAGTGGGCCACTTAGGGTACTTGCACATTCTTTCAACACAGATGGGAGAATGTCGTCGCACCCTGGGGATTTGTCGGCGCTTAACTTTAAAAGCTTGTCGGGAACATCAGCGCGAGTTATCTGTATTTCTTGTAACTCAGTAGCATCGGGTAACGTTGAAGGTTGTTCGTGCAATTGGCATGCGCACTTTCTTGATGGGATGTTGAGCTGTGTGTCAAGTGTCGTGTTCAGTATTTCAGCAATCTCCTGTCCAGAGAGGTTTTCTCCGCTCGGAACTTTCATGACACATGCGCCTTGGCTTGTCGATTTTCTTTTTGCCATGAATCGGTAAAAATTTCTAGGGTTTGCCTCAAGCTTTTCGGCCAGGTTGGACTGGGACGATCTCCCGTCCCTCCTCGCCCCTATGTTGCTTCTATTCCGTAGAGCCATGTATGCGTCATGGTCGTCCAGTTCTCTGGAGAGTCTCCATGTGTGCCATGCCCTTCTCTTGGCCTTTAGAAGGCGCTCAATGCCCCGTTTTATCTACGACGTTCGCTTTCTGGTTGTTGTCACCGCTGAAGGGGCGCTTTGCGAAACGGCCGCCCTGATGATATCCTTTACCAGTTCCCAGTGCTGGTCGATCGTTAAGGAACACCAATCCACTGTCCACGAAGCTGTTTAAAGGCTCTTGCTCATACCTTCGTAATTTGCCTTGTTGTAACAGGTACGGGCGAGGTCCCTCCCATGGCAGCTCTTCACTAATTACCAGGTAGAATACTACCATAGCATGATGGCTACTTACAAGAAAGGTTTGTAACTGAACGTCTTCAACCAGAAGGGGATCACTAGTCAGTGGGTAATCCAGTTTAGATGGTTTACTATCTGACCCCCAACGGGTGTTGTAGCTGCTTTTTTCCTGCAGTCCAGCCATTTGGATGGCGTTTAGCAGGTTACAGTCGAACTTCCGGCCCGGGGTAGCGCCACCCTGCTCTAGGCTGACGGTTGGAGCCTTGAAGTTGCCAGCTATTAGAATCTGGTCGTACCCTATAGTTGACACTGTGGATATTGCTTGGAGTAGTTTTTGGTTGTGTTCCAAGTTGCTATTAGGGGACCTATAGATTCCTCCAAGTCATGCGGAGTGTGACAAGCGATGAAAAGTCATTCGACTCATAGTACTCTCTGGCATGGTTTCGCATGCGGTTGCTTTCTTTTGTAGGTCAACTCTATTTCTCTTAATTTCTCTTTGGAGCGGTGGAGCAATGTAGTCTTGAGCTGTGCCTATATATTCATAGAATAGACCGCGGAGTTCTTTGGCTGAACCGTTGATAAAGTAGAGGCTCCATTCTAGGCAGCGCAGAAACGGTTGTAGTTCGTCCCATTTGGCATACTTGTAATTTCTAGTTGGTACTGTTCCTGACTTTCGGGATAATTTTGTGCTGGATATGTTGAAGTATCCACATATAACCTTGTGATCGCTACCTGAAAATTGTGTAACCCCTAGGAGTTTCGTGGGTGTGGTTCAGTTTATGAAGACTAGGTCCAGGACACTATTGTACCTGATAGGGTGTCCCACATGTTGCCAACCCTATGTCTCAAGAATGCTCATGAATTTATCAAAGCTTTCTGGATAGGTGATTGGTTGCCACGTTATATCTGGCATGTTGAAGTCACCACATATAATTTTCGCTGTGTGTGGTAGTGTTGCCACACGAGCGAACACGCTTGTTGGCTTGTAGACGTATTCGACTGAGGAAGAAGGGGGCCGTTTAATGCATCCTATTGGGAGGGGTGTGGAGCGGGTAAGTTTGGCAATACTCCATACTGAGTCGTGAATCTCGTTTAGCCCAGATGTTGGGCACTGCGTAGCAGTGATGTCGGACTTTACACAGATAATGCGCCCTCCTCCCTTACTGTGTAGTCCGTCTCTCCTGAACAAGGAATAGTTGTCGATGGAGATCTCTGCGTCACAAATATCAGAGGCACACCATGTTTCTGTAACCATCATCATGGACGGATCACATATCAGAGGTAGCAGCACAATCTCATTTTGTTGCGTATAGAGCGGCGTTGATCAGGCAAAACGAGAGCGAGTTAAGAGTACAAAGTGTTTGGATGCATCTCGAAAAAAGTCGGCACTTCTGTACATTTCTTGTGGGTCTTTTGCGAACATCGTGCTAGCGATGTCATGACCTTTTGTACAGGGCGACGATTCGGTACTGTTCATCTCGGAGGGAGTGAGGTATTCACCACATTGTGAGTGATATAGAGACTGTTGGTCAGGGTAGGGGGCAGATGATCCGACAACACCCGAATCACCTGCATTGCTGGTGGCGTTGCAGCCGTAGGCTGTCCGAAAAACGCGCTAGGCTTCTGGACGGTCCTGTGGTAACAGAGTGCTCGTGCCTGGTGCTAGACATGTTTATAGGCTGACAGACACCTGCTAACGACATAGTAATGTCTTCAGTATTTTGTTGCATCGGTAGCGTAGCACTTGGTTTGGTGTTGAACTGTGTGACGGGGTAAGAAGGGGACTGGCTCTCCACTTCTGTAGGCAGTGAGATCACCTTTACGAGATCTTGTGCCTGTTTTCAAGCGTAGTTCGTCGATTTGTCCGGGCCCACCGTCGTGCCGTCGGCTCTACCACGTCTGTGTGTGAGTGGGCTGATTTGTGGGCTTCAGTGTTCCCCATTCCATTGTGTTGGTACAGCAACCAGTTCGCCAATAGTTTGTGCTGCTGTTTTGGGAGCCAGAGCTTGACTGGAATTTGCAGCTTTTGGTATTTTTGTGCGATTACGCCTTGCGGTGGATTTTCTGGAGGAGTGAGGCAAAACTATTTTCCTGGTTACTTTCCGATCAACTTATGGTGCTGCCAGAGTACATCACTGTCGTATTGACAACGTACTCATCTTTGACATAAGTTGCATGTAAACACCCCATGCCAGGCTGAAACGACGCTTGCCCAAATGAAGCTGTCATTAGGCGTCAGCGCTTCACTCACCCTCTTTGGAGGCAGCAGTGAAGTTAGTGGTAAACTATTCGAGGTTAGTATCGTGTTCCTGTACCTGCCACGCAATCTCCAATATTTTGGACGAGTTAACATGGTCCGATGTTCTCTATGTCTGAAGCTAGGA